CCCCCCTGCCCCCCCAACTCACACTGAGCCTTTTCTCAGGCTCCACTTCGATCATCCCTCTCAGGAGGCTCTGGCAGTCTGGAGGAATGAAGTGGGGCATGTGGAAGACGCCCCTTTTCACCTTCTCCAGCAGCTGGCGGAGATTGTCGTCATCAAAGGGCAGAGCCCCCTGAGTGAGAAATGACAGGACCCCTTACGGAGCTTACCATGTACCAGGTAAGAGCCTAAGTGCTCCACACACGGACACATTTAGTCCTTACCACAGGCCTCGGGAAGTAGGGAACTGTTAGTACCCCACTTTACAGGTGGGGAGACTGAGGCACGGAGTGGTCCAGCAACTCGCCCGGGGCCTCTGAGCTGGTAATGGAGTCAGGCCCCAGTGCTTAAGAGGCTGGGGTTGCATCTTAAGAACAGGTTTCTCCCCAGACCAGTTTCAGATTCGGTCACACTCATTCATTCACTCAACGAAAGGTGAGCATCCATTATGGGTCAGGGATCTAGTAACCGACAAAATGAGCCCTCGCTCTCTGGGACCGTGAGATGCCGGCGAGTGGACGCGCATTAGCTGTGATGTCATTCATGATGGATTCGGCACCTGATGGTGCCCCTGCTGCCGCCCAGGTTCCAATCTGGCCCCTAGGGCTGGAGCAGGACAAAACCAGATTCCTGTCCTCACGGAGCTTGGTGTAGAACAGTAATTAATAGGCAACGGTTGTTGAATGCGTGGTGGGCGAGGCAAACAACACATGGATGGGAACGTGGGTGATGAGGACACAGAACAAGCAGGCAGCGCGGGACGGGAGCCGGGTGTAGCCGGGGAGTCGAGGAAGGGGTCGCGGGGGAGGTGACGCTGGACCGAGACTCACAGGGGGTGACAGTGCTGTCCCTGGTGTCAGAGGCCTCTGGACAGAGAATGCCGGGTGTTGGGGTTGGGGAGACTGGGAGAGGGCGCCCCTGAATGCTGGTCTAGGGCCAGGAAGCCTGGATGTGACTCTGCTTGTCGGTCTTGTTCGATGTGTCCCTGTGTTTCTTGTTTGCCTGGTACCTGGACCCTCAACTTCCCAGCCTCCAGAACAGTGAGAAGTGCATGTTTCTTGTTTAAGCTGCACGGTCTACTTTTGTTAGAGCAGCCCAAGCGAAGACAGACCTCTTGTTTTATATATATATGTCTATATTAATATATATTTATATAAAATATATATATATAAATACATGTGTATAATATATAAACATATAAGGGCGCCTGGGCGGCTCAGTCAGCTGAATATCCAACTTCGGCTCAGGTCATGATCTCACGGGTTTGTGGGTCCAAGCCCCACATCAGGCTTTGTTTATATATATATATATGGCATATAGGTAGAATTCATACTTGAATGAAGCGTATCTAACGCATACATTTTCCTCGATGAGGGACAAAACAGCCTTCTTGCCCTTAGGAACGCAAGATAGCACTTCAACACTACCCTGAGGACCATTTAAAATCCCCAAGAAAAGGGCACCCGGCTGGCTCAGTCAGTGGAGTATGTGGCCCTCGATCTCGGGTTGTGGGTTCGAGTCCCACACTGGGTGTGGAGATTATTTAAAAAAAAAAACAAAACAAAACATGGGGCGCCTGAGTGGCTCGGTCGTCTCACTCTTGATTTTGGCTCAGGTCATGATCTCACGGTTCGTGAGTTCAAGCCCTGAGTTGGGCCCTGTGCTGACAGCACAGAGCCTGCTTGGGATTCTCTGTCTCTGTCTCTCTCTCAAAATAAACAAACTTAAAAAAATAATAATATAAAATAAAATCACCAATAAAAAGCACGAAAAAGCAAATATATTGCACTCAATAAACCACAAAAAGCACAGGTGCTTACGAGGTGAGCTGAAATAAGGAAATAAATAAATACATAAAAAGCAGAGGGTGGGTTGCCTCGCGTGTGGTGGGGACTCCAATTTTTTCTCTGCTCTGTGCACATCTGAGAATGACCTCAAAAGCACCCAGAGTGTTGATTTTGAGGTCATGGATAAACTGCGGTGAGTGGGCAACTTTGCAATACAGAATCCGTAAGTCGTGAGAATCATCTGCAATAATAATAGTAATGAAGTATGCGTACCAGTAACTATCGAGCACCGCCTAGAACGCTGAGCATACGACACGCTATCGAAACCCTCGCAATTCCAGGTACCCTAACCGTCGCCACTGGGCGGGTGAGGAAAGGGGCCTGGAGAGGGACGGTGATTTGCTTGCTCAAGGTGACGGAGCGGGGGTTTGAACTCAGCTGGATGGGCTCCCACACTGCCAGCTACAGAGGGGCTGAGGCCTGTAGTGTTGGAGCCTGCCTCCCGGGCGCCTCTCCAGCTTCCCCGGGGGGCCCTGGGCCCCGGAGCGCCCACTCGGCCTCGCTCCCCTCAGTGTCACGGAGCCTCCCTGGTCACAGGCTAGTGCTCATGACGCCAAACACTGATCCCAGACCTGCCACTTCTCAGCAGTGTGGGCCGGTCACTTCTCTCTGGGGCTGTTGGGAGAGGTCCGGAGGATAACGTGCCTGTAACAGTGCCTCGCATGGAGCGCACCACTAATTCGTCTACACCACACGTGTTCCTGAGGGCCGACCGTGTGCCAGCTCGGGTCCCACTCGCGAGCCCACGAAATAAGACACACAAAGACAAAAGCCCTGCCTTCTGGGAGCTGATGATCTAGAAGGGAAGGGAGACGCCCCCTCAAAGAACCGAACGACTCAACGCACGATGGCGACCGAGAGTCGCCGGGAAGCCCAGAGCCTACCCTGGAGGATCCGACCTCGTGGCGCGTGGGGGACAGGGGAGACTTCCTGGAGAAGTGGCAGATGAATTGAGGCAAAAAGAAAGTCTAAGGGGGCGCCTGGGTGGCTCGGTCGGTTAAGCAGCCGACTTCGGCTCAGGTCACGATCAAGAGGTTCGTTGACTTCGAGTCCCGTGTTGGACACCAGACTGGAGGTGTGGAGCCTACTTGGGATTCTCTCTCTCCCTCTCTCTCTCTCAAAATAAACAGCACCACCAGAAAAGTCTAGGTGTAACCTAGCTGAGCAACGGGACTCGTAGGGGTGGGAGAGCGTTCTGGGCAGAGAAGCGCAGGTGTGGAGGCGAGGCGGGAAGAGCCGGGCTGACTGGACGAGTTTCTGTCATATTGCAGTGCCCTAGCACAGCCACCGTCCCGAGCCGTCCAGGGGCTCCCGGCTGCCCCGTCCTTTTCTGGGACACCTGGATTAGCTCACCATTGTGTGACTGAATGGTTAGCTCTGGGCCCAGAGGGGGGTGCTCCGGGATCTTGGTCTGCTGGCTAATACCTCCCACCTTCCCAATCTCAGTGAAATAGTTGGTACCCCTGAGGGGAGGACGGAACTTGATGTTCTGCGCTCTACGTTGTCCTAGAAATGGGGCAGGAGAGGTGAGGGGCACCTTACCACAAGCAGGGCAAAGAGAATGACTCCACAGCTCCACATGTCCGCTCGGCGGCCGTCATACTTCTCCCCCTGCAAAGGAGGACCAGCTGTGACATCGTCTCTCCACCACGTTCCTTCCACTCCTCCCGCGTCTCCACCCGCTCACTCACCTTAATCACCTCCGGACACGCATAGTGGGGGGACCTGAGGGAGAGAGGCAGTGTGAGCCTCTGGCCGGCTTCTCACCCCCTCCCTGGGACTACAGGGGCCAGGCCCCCACTCACCCACAGCTGGTCTCCAGGAGGCTGTCCCCCACCTGCAGGGACGCCATGCCAAAGTCCGCGATGCGGATGTTGTTTTTCTCATCCAAAAGCAGGTTCTCGGGCTTCAGGTCTCTGTGGCTGAGACAGGCAGGCAGGTGGCGCTCAGATCTCTGCCCTCCTCCTGGGGGCCGAGGCCCAGTTCGCTATCTCTCAGGGGGAGACTTCTGCAAAGTCTTACGGACAATTTCAAACACGCTCCAAAGTAGTGAGAAGATACAAGGAAGCCCCATGCACCTGCCCGCCACCCCGCCCCCCCATTATCAACTCAGGGCAAATCTTCTCTCGCCTATACCCCTACGTACTGTTTCCTTCCTCCGCTGGATTTTTTTTTAAAGTTTATTGTGTTTATTTTTGAGGGGGGGAGGGGGAGGGGCAGAGAGAGGGAGAGAGAGAGAATCCCAAGCTGTCAGTGCAGAGCCCGATGCAGGGCTCAATCCCACGAACTGTGAGATCATGACCTGAGCCGACATTAAGAGTCGGACGCTCGTCCAGCTGAGCCACCCAGGCGCCCCTTCACTGGAGACGCCAGACAGCATATCATCTTATCCGCAAATGCTTGACTATGTACGAAGTGAGATATTTTGAGGTGAGAAGAGTTAACGTTGAGCTATTGAAATACTTCCGTGCTGAACAATAAAAACATTGCCACCCCAAGCCAGTCACTGGTCCCTCGTGAGACACCTGCCCTCTCCCCTGGAGCAAAATCCTTCAAGTTTTAAGAGCTAATGTCTGGGAGGAGATGGGGCCTGAGGACTCTAGAGTTTCGGTGGGAAGCGGTCAGCTCAGTAACTGGGTCATACTTGTTCAGTATGTTGACTATTGCCCCCTAGAGGCCAGTGTTTTTAATGTCAGGGTTTCGACAGTGTCCCGTCGATAGGGAGGTGTTGACAATTTAAACAGGCTGCCTTTCATTTCCAAGCTCTACCCCCAACTCTGAGCCCCTCCACCCTGATACCCACCCCAACTCCAATCCCCACCCCAGAGAGGGAGGTGTGCAAACAAAAGAGGCTGAAAGACAAGGGAAGGCATCCATTTGCACCTCAATGAATCATTAAAATGTTGCATATTTAATATCCTGTTTTGAGAGCGGAAGAGAGGACAGGACGATCTTTTCACATGGACATTCACAAGCCAAAGCACGAACCTCAACCCTTACTTCAAGTCATAGACAAAAATTAACTTGACATGGATCCCAGGACTAAATGCAAGAGCTAAAACTATATAACTTCTCGAAGAAAATGTAGGAGGAAGCCTTAGGGACCTTGAGCTGGGCAAAGATTTATAGATAGGACAGAACAAGCATAAACTGTAAAAAAAAAAAAAAAAAAAAAAAAGACAAAATTGGATTTACCAGATTTAAAGCTTTTGCTTTTCACCAGACATTGCTATAAAAACACAAAAGAGGGGAACCTGGCTGACTCAGTCGGAAGAGCGAACACGTGGCTCTTGATCTCAGGGTCATGAGTTTGAGCCCCAAGCTGGGTGCAGAGATTACTTCGTTAATTAAAAAAAAAAAAAACAACCTTAAAAAATATATTAATAATGCAAAATCATGTCACAGACTGAGAAAATAATACTCAAAAAATATACAGTTGATAACAGATTTGTCCTTAGGGGTGTCTCAGCTCAGGTCACGATCTCATGGTTGGTGAGATCAAGGCTCAAGTCGGGCTCTGTGCTGACAGTGTGGAGCCTACTTGGGATATTCTCTTTCTCTCTTTCTTTCTCTTTCTCTCTCTCTCTCTCTCTCTCCCCTCTCTGCCCCTCCCCCTCTCATACTCACGCACCTTCTCTCTCAAAATAAATGCATAAATAAACGTTTACAAAAAAAGATCTGTCCTTAGAATAAATAATTCTTAAGAGTTATTCCTAGAGATGGGGCGCCTGGGTGGCGCAGTCGGTTAAGCGTCCGACTTCAGCCAGGTCACGATCTTGCGGTCCGTGAGTTCGAGCCCCGCGTCGGGCTCTGGGCTGATGGCTCGGAGCCTGGAGCCTGTCTCCGATTCTGTGTCTCCCTCTCTCTCTGCCCCTCCCCCGTTCATGCTCTGTCTCTCTCTGTCCCAAAAATAAATAAACGTTGAAAAAAAAATTAAAAAAAGAGTTATTCCTAGAGCAACCTCTCGTTCCTAGAATAACGGAGTCTTACAACTCAATAATCAAAAGATAACTCAATAAGAAATGGGCAAAGGGTCTGAACAGACATTTTTCCCAAGGAACATAAACAAATGGCCAATAAGCACATGAACAGATGTGCTACATCATTAGTCACGAGGGAACTGCAGATCAAAACCACAATGAGATACCACTCCATATCCACTAGCATACGGCTATAACCAAAAAGTCAAACAGTAATGGGCCGCCTGGGTGGCTCAGTCGGTTAAGCGTCCAGCTCTGGGTTTCGGCTCAGGTCACAGTCTCATGGTTCGGTCTCACGGTTTGTGGGATCGAGCCCTGGGTCGGGGTCTGCACTGACAGTGTGGAGCCTGCTTGCGATTCCCTCTCTCTCTCTCTCTCTCTCTCTCTCTCTCCCTCTCTGTCCCTCCCCTGCTTGTCCTCTCTCTCTCTCTCAAAATAAATAAGCTTAAAGAAAAAGTCAAATAGTAGCAAATGTTGGCAAGGAGGTACAGAGATTGGAACCATCATGGACTGTTGGTGGGGCGGAGGGTGTGTTAAAGGGCGCAGCCGCTTTGGAAAATCATCTGGTACTTCCTCAAAAGGCCAAGCAGAGTTCCCATATGACCAGACAGTTCAACCCCCGGGTACGTACCTGAGAACCGAAAACACGGGTACACACAAAACTAGCACGTGAATATTCACATGTCCCTATTATTTATAATGGCCAAAAAGGAGAAACAGGGGCGCCTGGGTGGCTCAGTCGGTTTAGTGTCCGACTTCGGCTCAGATCATGATCTCATGGTTTGTGGGTTCGAGTCCTGCGTCGGGCTCTGTGCTGACGGCTCAGAGCCTGGCGCCTGCTTCCTTTTCTGTGTCTCCCCCTCTCTCTCTGCCCCTCCCCTGCTCACGCCCTGTCTCCCTCTCCCTCTCGAAAATAATCAACGTTTAAAAATGGAGAAACAACTGAAGTGTCCATCAACTGTCAAATGGATAAACAAGATAAGGCATATCCACGTGATGGAATATTTATCAGCCACAAAAAGGAATGAAGTACTGACAAGCTACAACACGGACGAACCCCGAAAACATTTTGCTCCGTGAAAGAAACCAGACACAGAGGGCCACATGCAGTATGAGTGCGTCTGCACGAAATGTCCAGAATGCGCCAATCCGTGGAGACACAAAGCAGACTGGTGGTTGTCAGAGGCTGCGGGCAGGGGCGGTGGATGGGTGACGGCTTAATGGGTACGAGGTGATGATGTTGGGGGTGATGAAAATGCTCCAAAATTACATAGCAGCAACGCACAGCGCTGACTACACTACAAACCACCGAATTGTGTACTTTAAAGGGGCGAATTTTATGATACGTGAGTTATAGCTCAGTTTTTTTTTAAAGGGATAAAGATTTATGTCGGGGCCGCACCACACTGGCTTCCCCTCAGCTGCCATGTGCTTCCAGGGCCTGCCTCGTGGGCAGTGCTCCTCCTGGCCTCCCCTCACGCTGCCCCCTCACCAGATGGAGTAGCTATGGCAGAAGTCCAGCGCCGATACTATCTGGCGGAAGAACTTCCGGGCCTCCTTGGGTGTCAGTCTCCCCTTCTTTACCAGGTAGTCAAACAGCTCACCTCCAGAGACGTGCTCTAGAACCAGGTACCTGGGGGACGTGGAGGGGGCAGAGGGCTGGAAGGGGCATGTGGAGGACCAAAGAGCCTGGTCTTCCTCTTTCAAAAGCCCTTGGAGCCCAGCACAAGACCTCAGTCCCACTGGCCCCTGACAGCAGAGAACCCCAATTCCCATGAGTCCCTGGGAGGGGAGAGACTCCTATTCCCATGAGTCTCCAGGAGGGGGTGGGACTCCAATTCCCATAAGTCCCCCGGAGGTGGGGAGAGATCCCAATTCCCATGAGTTCCTGGGAGGGGGAGAGACTCCAATTCCCATGAGTCCCTGGGAGGAGGAGACTCCAATTCCCAGGAGTCCCCGGGGGGAGGAGGAGACTCCAGTTTCAATGAGCCCCTGGGCAAAAGAGACTCCAATACCCCTCAGCCTTTGGGAATCCAAAACTCAATTCCAGAATCCTATGTCAACTTTAGGAGTATAGTACTTTGGCTCCTAGTTATTTCGGGAGATAAGGCAACCCTGTTAGCACCTGGAGGACAGAAACACCCCAATTCTCACAAGACCCTGGGAAATAAAGACACCTCCCTCCCTCACTCCCATTAGCTTCTGGAAAGCCAAGCCTCTCATTCTTATAAGCCTCTGGGATGAAGAAACTCGAATTCTCAATAATGCCTGGCAATAAATGATTGTAGTGTGCACCAATCTAAGTCAAAGTCTGTGAGGTAGAAGACTACAACTCCCATAAGCTCTAAAGGGGTTTAAAACTCCCAACTCCCATAAGCCTCTGAGACATAGACTCCTAATTCCCATCAGCCACTGGATCCTTAAGACTCCAAATCCCATCAGGCTCCAGGAGGTTAAAACTCTGATTCCCATCAACCACTGGAAACAAAGGCTCAATTTCTTGGAAGGCTGATAATCCTCTGTGAAGCCCAAACTCCCATGGGCCCCCCCTCTCCCTACCTAGGTGGTGGGGTGGGAGTGACATCTCCACCAGCTGGTGACAAAGCCCCTCCCTGCTGCCACACCTGGGGAAGCCTGAAGATTACAATTCCCATGAGCACGTGGGGCCCAGCAGCGTACTGCCTGGGGAAACCAGCCCCAGCATCTGATGGTATTGGAGACAGTTCATCCTGAGGACTGCATGGTGGGGGCTGTCCCCTCTCCCGCTGCCCAGCCCAGCTGTCCCTTGGGTCACCAGAGTCCAGACAAAGGCCTATTGTCTGTACCCTGGACAGCTGGACTCCACTCCCATGTTCCTGGGGGGTAATCAACTTTGAGATACAGACTAGGAAATCGTAAGACAGCCGTTGTTGGGGTGTCCATCGTAGCACCCAGAGTTATGTGCGGGGAAGGGGGGGTTCCAATGCTCCAGAGTGGGGGTTTAGGAAGAGGCAGGATTCACTGAGCCTTAGGCTTTGTTAAGCCCTGTTGCCTCAGCAGATGGAACTGGGGTGGGGAGCTGCTCTTAACAAGGTGGATCTCCTTGAGGACATCCAGGTTATCTAGTAGAGAGTGTTCCCTGTAGTGCGGGGTGGGGGGGTACCGGGGCTGGGGAAGAAGGGGCAGGATGGGCCTCTGTCCCCCCACTCAGGATGGCTCACGCTTAGCTGTCCTGTTGCTGAGGCACATTTGGTCCTTAGCGTCAGGCCAGGTCAGGCCAGTCAGCCTGGGAACGGGAGGAGTATGTGTGAGCATGCGTGTGTGCGTGTGTGTGCGTGTGTGTGCGTGTGTGTGCGTGTGTGTGCGTGTGTGTGCGTGTGTGTGTGTGTGCGTGTGTGTGCGTGCGTGTGTGTGTGCGTGTGCGTGCGTGTGCGTGTGCGTGTGTGCGTGTGTGTGCGTGTGTGTGTGTGCGTGTGTGTGTGTGTGTGTGTGCGTGTGTGTGTGTGTGTGTGTGTGTGTTCTGTGCAGTAGGGAAGGGACTGACTGGGCCTTCAGAGGCCCAGCCAGGAGAGCTTAAGTTTCCACAGGCCTCTTCAGGCCTTCTTTCCAGAAAGGTCCCACCCTAGGAACTTGGAGTGGGGGGTGCATAGGGGGGCTGGGTGTCTATAAATACCTACAAATATTTCTTGTTCTCGTAGACATCATGCAGCTTGAGGACGTGTGGGTGTTCAATGAGCTTCAGGATGGCGATCTCCCTCTCCACCTGGGGGACGGCAGGGCGCACAGAAATGGAGGTCAGCATGGCCTCGCTCCCTCCCCTCAGCCCCAATGGGACGCCCTCCCTCAGCACACACACACCTTCATCAGCACCGACTCGGACAGCTTCTCTCGGTTCACGATCTTGATGGCAACCTTCTGGCCCGTGATGCAGTGGACCCCGAGTTTAACCAGCCCTGGGGAAGCAGGATTGAAAATGTGGAGTGTGTTCAGAGAGCACTCTCACGGCCTCTGGCTCCTCAGTCCTCCTTGCCACCCCCTTTCCTCCTCCTTTTCCTGCTGGCTGCAGTGGCCTGAATCACCCTGACCTGAGTCCCTGAGGGCTCTGACAGCTGTCATTCCCACAAAACGCACTCTTCTTCCTGCTGCCCATAGACATTGACATTCTGTTCTGTCCATTCTTCTTCTTTTTTTTCTCCCCCTTAAGTCATCTCTACACCCAACGTGGGGCTCGAACTCACAATCCCGAGATCAAGAGTCGCACGGCCCACTGACTGCGCCAGCCAGGTGCCCCTGTTTTGTCCCTTTTGCTTGTCCACCACCTCCACAGCCGACCCCGGTTCTCACCCCATTCTCTGTCCTTCTGACGTGCCCCCTGAAGTCCATCTCTCCACAGAATCTCTCCTCACTGTGTCTCCATAGCTTTGTCTCCCCTGCTGCCTCCTTCAACCTCTCTCTCCCTCTAAACCCATCTTTTCCTTGAATTCTCTGCCCTTCAATCATCTGGAGACTCCAGGTCTCCCAGGGAATATACTTTCACGTTTGCCCCCTTCCCAGACCATTCTCCTCCACCTCCTTCCAAACCCTGACCTTTTTTTAATCCTCTTTTTGGATCTTCTTTTAATAGCAGCTGTAGCTGGGAGCATGCAAGAGTATGCCCACTCCCCAGGGGTAAGCCCCAAAGCCACAGACCCTGGAGTCTGGGTCCCCAGCCCCTCCTCCCTCAGACCCACACAGCTCCTCCTCCCTCAGACCCAGGAGTCCTGCCCCAGCCCCCTCCTACCTCAGATCCAGGAGTCCAGGCCCCCAGCCCCTCCTCCCTCAGACCCAGGAGTCCAGGCCCCCAGCCCCTCCTCCCTCAGACCCA